CTGACAATTTCAACTGCTTTTTATGGAAGAAGTCTGTTATTTGCACCTCTAAGCCAAACAAAAACACCTGTTACATACATTCTGACACGAAATGAAACAATCGTTATTGCTGTCAGTGATTGGTTTCATGAAATAATATACAAAGCTGAATGTTTTTTGTTTGTGAAACTTTCATTATTCTTCTGAAAAACATCATCAGCACAAACTTCAGATAACGAAACACCATCACAATTATCCACCTGAGCTAAAAATTTTCTCCACCATCTCAAAATACAAAGCTGATTTCATCTAAAATACTTCAATGTCTTTAGCTCATGATATTGATTTCTTTATGTTTTAGATGCTCAGAGGTAATTTAAAATAAAGATTATTCATGAGTCAAAATAGAGAATTTCATGTAATGTCATCATTACCGTTCTTTTTTTTTATCAAAAATTGACAGCATCCTGTTTGTTGTGGATAATTCGGTAGAAAATAGACTGATTACTACTATTATGAACTTAAAAGAATTTTTTGAATCGTATATTAGTTGATTTCCTAGATCGGCATTTTAAACAACTAATAGGAATCAATGATGCTGCCAATCGTGTATATATATTATAAATATTGAACAAAATATAGCGCGAAATCAAATGCCTGATTATTAAATCATGAGAATACAATATTTAAATAATCTGACAAAAAATATAGATTATTGTCAAATCAAATCATAATAATTAGATCATCTGTTAAAACAATAAACTCTCTTTGGAATTAAATAGTCTATTAAAACTCCATAGATTGCATATCTTTAATCTCTTTACCTGATACAATTTACAAACTTTTAAGGTTATGATATAACTTTGAAGAAAAAAATTTCCTTGATAATTTTTGTTACTAAATATGTAATCGACTTGATTCGATTTTCGAGCCCCAATATTTGATGATCGTCATTGAAATATCTGAAGTCAATTCACATTACAGTTTAAATATATCACAATCATAAGTAAATGCTAAGAAACTCTAACATCTATTGACAGTTGAACTAGAGGTGGAGTGATCATCTACCGATTCAAATGAACATTATTAACACTACATCACTAAATGAATAGTATAGTAAAATCCTCGGTAGCTAGTTTGAATTTTCGGAGTGGGAGTCATACTTATATGTCAAGAAATCTCGTAATTTTTTGTTTGAATATACGGCTGCATTGATAAGGAGTTTTTAACTGGAGAGATAAAGTTAAATGGCGATCTCTTGTTTTTATTGATCTACTGGTTTATTTAAATTCCAGATGAATACTTTATTCGAAACAGTAGTATTAATACTATTCGTAACAAATACTGTAGCTATCACACACAAGAACTTTACTTTATTACCTACTGAATTTTGCTCACAACATCATGGATAAAAATATAGAAATTTGTAGATTTTATCTATTCCTTGTATAAGTATACAAATATTAATTTCATAAACCTGGTAAAAAAACAAATACTGAATCATTGCTGAAAGAAATAGCACCAGAAATAATCGTGTTTACAAAATATTCAAATAAGACAAATAACCGACTACATAAAAATTGTGGTTTTCTTCTAAATGAACTTAAATTTAAACGGTAGCTTCTCTTTGAATGTTTCAGTGTTTAACTAGAATTAAAAAAATATTTCAACTCACGTAGTCAGTAATTGTAATGTACATCCTTGGAAATTTTAGATGGGTTTATTATTCTAAGTGCGTTACTGGTTAGTACACGTTATACTTCATTTTAAATAAATGACATCTTTTTCCAAACTTTTTCCAAAGATATAAATGATTTGAATTGAGGCTCAGATACACATAACGATTTCCGGAAATGCTGATCTCACAATTATTTTTGTTAATTGATAACTTACACGTTTCTACCTATAAATATGTACACTCCAGCCTGAAATAAAGTAAAAAATTTCGAGGCATTTGTGAGACTGAAAAATTATTAAATAACTTTGAGAATTCCAATACCTGTAGATTTGTCAGTCTTCACATAGGAATAAACTTGCACATTTTTGTTTACAGTGAAAAGGATGTGTCATTCTAGGATTTATTCGATTTCTGCAACAGTGAGCCTAACAATTATTTGTTCAAACCAAATTTTTTCAAAACAATTTATGTGATTAATTAATGGATTAGTACATTTAAAGTAGAATATTGTTCATGATTTTGCAACAAGATCCTAATGAACTTGAATGTAATTTGGATTTTGTTTAACTAATTCGCATCAGACACTTCTTCATTGTTATTGCTGATTAAACTACCAATTTATATCTATCTATATTTTACCCCAGCAAATCAATTGCAAAATCAACGAATTAACTTTCGTACGAAAAGAAAAAATTCTTCTGATTAGATTTTTTGTATAATCATTCCAAATTTTTAGTTTATCCCTTTCTTACGTCTCATTTTTCTTGGTCGATTTTCTACAGACACTTATAGTCACTTGTATTTGCCTTCTCGATTTAATTATCATCCTAAAAATATTCGACAAGAAGTGAGTTTTTTTTAACCCATTTTTGTTTGATTTACTACACACAGTAGGAGGTCTACTATTCATCGAAAATATTGTTTGTTTTTTTCCAACTCACTTGCTATTAGATGTAGCAATATAAATGAGTTGTAGATTTTTACTCAGTAAGGAAGTCAAAACCACTCATTAGGCGTAATCATTAAATAATATATTTTTTCTTCCTCTTTTCTAAAAATAGTTTACCGTAAGATAAATATATCTACAATTTCATTAGACTCGTATTTCATGTTGTCCAAACTAGTTCGTCTTTCTTTTATATATATATATATATATATATATATATATATATATATATATATGTTCTCAGATTTTTAAGGTCAGCACCAAAATAAATAGATTCAAATAGAAGTAATTATCTCTCAAATCGTTCGTTCAATGAGATTAGAATTTAGTTTTATTTTTTTTCGCTTAAGAAAACAGTCATTCATTCATTTTTTTAGTAAATCTAAGGTTAATAGGTTATACCAGTCAATGTATTCAATTGGTTTTCTAAACATGAGTAGATAAGTAAACTCTGTGGCACACCTAAAGGTCAGTAAAGTTTGGTGAGGCATGCCGTTCTATTAAAAAAAACGCTCACCTTAAAAAAAGTTTATTCATTATTTGATGATTTTATCTCTTCTTTTTTCTCTTTAAATCAGATCGAGGAAATTGTGAAGAACGTGATGAAATCTCCAGTTCAACTTCGAGATAATGCAGTCAATTATCACCGGGATTTCTTATATTATGACGAAGTAAGCTTATGCAATGTATATCATAAAATGCAGTGTGACTAATACTTGCACTGAAATGTTCGTTGTACTGTCAAATAATATTTGTGATTAAATGCACGGTATATTATGAATATGACAGTTTTTTTTTGAAAGCGTATCACTTTCCAGTAGAACGAATGAGGTAGTAGTTAGCTTTCGGTTTTCTTGTTTAGATTCATTATTTGAATAGGTTGATTGTGAATGAAAATTATACTAAAAACCTGTAATTTGATTACAGGTATTTTGCTTGTTATGATACGTTTGAAAAATAACTAACCATTAAAACAGTAGTTAACCACATTCGAATATTTTGAAACTGTGTAAATCCGAGGTTAGTAGATGGATCGCTTCTTTAAGACTGATTAACTGGTGACTTTAAATTTTCAGCCGAATTCCAGATTTCTGATTCCTACTTAAGGTACAACAACTCAGGAACTCTGTTTACAGAGTAAGCTGAAAATCGAAATATTAACTTAATAAAATTGAATAGCAACTTGATTGAATTAATACAACAAAAACGACGAGACCAAATCCCTAAAAATCGGAAATTCTAATGGGAAGAATTAGCTTATTGCACGTTCGACTTATTCCAGTGCATTTAGATATCTTAATTAAATTAATGTCAACATTCAGTAAACTTAATCAGAGTTTGAAAAAAGTGATGGACACATGTTTACCTTTGTGTACTCTTTTCATCAGTAAGCATTTATGATGAGTAAGGTAGCGTCTAACTTCAGAGTTTTGAATTTTTCTTTCAAAAATCTTCATGAAATTTTATCAGTACAAAGCGGAACTATAATAATGTGGTTGTTCTACTAAGTGGTTTTTGTCATTCCCAAGTTTGATATATATATATATATATATATATATATATATATATATATATATATATATCAGTTTTCTTCACAAATTAACACCAAGTAAAAAGAATTTTAGATTTAGGGATTATGAGGAATTATTTTAGTCCTAATTTAGCACATTCCAACAACTGTTCTATCAATCATGTGATCACTTATTACTAGTCTTGAGAATAACTAGTGAATCTAATGCAAACAGACTTTAACTCAAGGGTGTAACAGCTGTCACCGACATCATATAATGTTCATTCATATCCATTATGTAGTGTGTAGATTTTTTGCTCCGAACCTTTGGATCTCAGTCTAATGGAATGATCTCAGCAATGATGGTGAAACATTCTGTTTGACAGAAACTACTGAAAAGTCTATTTCTAGGAAGCAACAATTCTATACTGCTTCTTCATTTCCATCAGTTTTCAACAAGGGTTATTCTATGTTAGTTAATCTGCTTACTTCATTTATCTATTGATGTTTATAGTCATTTAACTTGAGTGACGAGACGTTTTGTCTCATTAATTTTTATCTGACGGAGTAACGCTTACCGTCTACGGAAACTTAGGTGATAACCAAACTAATCAATACAGTCCCGATAGAATAAAAGTGATACAATTTGAGCAACACATAAAATGCTGAACTTCTAAAATTAGAACAAAAACTAAAACCATAAGTCATTAGGATTTATTTTAGTTTATTAAAAGTAAATTTGAGTATAATCTAGCAGGAATGCTCTATTTATTTAACTCCATTATTGTTGTTTGAAATATTTGAGTAATATGTTTTGCAGTCGTCTCATTGAAACTTATTCCTTCATTGATCTTTTGACAGTGTGAACAAGCTTGTGATTCAGACCGATTTTATGGTGACTGCATAAAAATGTGCGAGGTATGTACTTTAAATATATTCATATCTGTGATATTTGAAAATTTTTTATTCCTTTGAATGCTGTTTCCAACATTTGTTCATGATAATTTATTCCAATTTCATTTGGTCAACAGAATGTTCCATTTATAGGGTTTTTTTCCTCAGTAAATAAGCGATTATCGTTAATATTTCTATTTTTCCTCATATTCTATTTTAAACCAACTGATTTCATTTACGTTTTGAAAACTACATTTAAAATACTGAAATTTATTGATTTTTATAATTCTTCTTTACAATTACATGTTTCATCTTTCCTATTGTAAAGATTTAGTATGATGAATCATAGAATAATACAGGTATACATAGAGTGAGTATACCGTCTTTATAACATGCTATCCCAACCTTGATATTATTAACCATGAAAGAAAAAGCTCATTTGATGTTGTTGTTATGAACAAGCCAGCGACTGTTTTCCAACATCAGTTCTGACTGTAGTTGAATTCATAAACTATGAACTCAGTTGTATTAATAAAAGAGAACTGTTTGATTTCAGGGCCATTCATGAATAAGAAGCCTATTGAAGTGAATGTAGTAATTTCATTGTAAACAAGGAATCGAATCACAACAGGCATATCTTCATACTGGACGATGATTTCGCTTCGTCTTTATGAATTTCAATACTATTGTAATAATTGAGAGGACCGTTCCTTCAGAGGAAGAATAATTTTAGGTTGTTAAGACTGGAATGAATACTGCTTTCTTTTTTTCTCGCCCACTATACACTGACTGTCGCCTTAGTAGAAATTGTAAATTAGTGTGGATTCTACGTAGCATTCCATTTCATATTATGAACCTTTGTGAAAATGAAAGTATTATTAAAACATTTAAGGTTTGATTAGTTAAGTGAATTAGTGATAATTATATCTACATGAATGATTTCACGCATAACATCTATTATGCAGCACTGCTAGTTGAGCTGGAACGAAACGCCACCACCATCATCACTAGGTAAGCTTGAAGCTATTACAAGTTCACCTTAGTCGATAAACAAGAACGAGACAATGAACCAGCGTCCAAGAAGGCTACCTTGATATCAGAACTGAAGAACAGAAGTCTTGATAAGCGTAGAAAGTATATTCTACAAATACCCAGCAAGCACAATACAATCAAGCACACAAATCTCGTTTATTTATGCATCATAGAAACGTACTTGGGACAGTTACGACAACAGCACACTAAAATACACTGCAGCCAATCACAGCCATGGATTTTCCTAATGGGAAATGAAATCTCAAGGTCAACTGATCAACCCATGCTGGCAAACGTGAAATCCAATATAAGGCATTTATGAAGCGAGTTCTGGGGATCTAACAGCCCAAACACCATCCACCTGAGCTACATATTTTCTCCATCGGCACTGCTGTCTATTATTCAATCTCCATATGGTATTTGTTCGTAATGAAATAAATTTGTCATACGAATTATCAAATTACATCGTTTACAAACTGGATTACTGAGAACACTTCCATAGAGAGGAAATAACACGGAATAAACTTACAAAACTGTGATTGACTTCAGTTTCAGTTCAGAAAATGAACAATTTCGCATCGTTTTTTTTTTCAATTTGCCAAAAAGATATTTTCTATGAAAATGACCTTGAGGCACTTTTAGTCTGCTTAATTTTCAGTTAAATTAATGGATAAAATTCTTTAGAAAAAAGTAGAAAAACACACTAATCGTATCATAAATAAAGTGAACAAAAAGTGTAATCTGATAAACTCGTAATACATTAAATAGCTTTTTAATTGTACACATAAAAAGGACAAAAGTATACGATAATCGTTAACTTAATATTAAAAGAAAGCTTTCCATGAGAATAACCATTAATTATCATGGTCAACCTAGAAAAAAAACTTCATACTACTGTGTGAAGAAGTTATCTAAAAACCTTTTATTGTCATTATGCATTCATTAATTGAATTCTATAGTAGAAGCGCCAGTCAAACATACCAGTTTATACAATATAATTCATGTTAAATTTCACGCCATAGTATCAAACTATTTAAGAAGTAGATTTCAGTTCTTGAAATATAAATTTCATTTTATTTCGCTCTCTATTCTAGTCAAACAATTGAACATAACCTTGGATAATGAAAAAATTGCTTCAGTTATTTGTGTGATACTTGTCATCTGATTCTAACATAATGGTTTTACATGGCAGTCATTTGAATATTGATCTGAAATGATTAGACGGTGTTATAAATTTTGTAATACGATAAACAGTTCAATACACTTGCAATTAAATGATATTTTCTCTTGTTTAGCCTGGTGATTCACCTAGTGGATGGTCATGTCTTACTGGTTGCCGATTCTTAGATGCAGCATTGAAGAAACGATCTGGTGATTGTCCTGAACAGATTGGGCTGGCGATTCATCGCATACCAAGTTTAGTATCTGTTAAAAATGATGTTCAGAATTTTCCGTCACATGAGTCTCGCGATTCATCACAGTTGGATTTAGATAAACACATCTCCTTAACTGAAAGTAATAGCGGTTTACGAACCAATATGCCAGAGAATTCTTGGTTTGCTCAGCATGGCAAAGAACTTAATGAAATAAACAGCTGTACAGTTGATGGTGAGTGCCCACAAAAGCAAGATAAATGCTGCCAGTCACAATGCAAACCAGCTGTATTTAATAAAGGTAATTTGATTTTGAAAAATTCCATTAAAATGATAACCTGGAAAATTATTTATGCACACCTTGAAGTTGTATTTCAGTTTTAAGGGTTTGAATATTCCTGATCACTGCAATTAAGTTTTCACACATGAGTTACAAATTGCCTTAAGATATGAAGTTTCGGCAACCTGAGGAAAATATATACTTCAAAAGATCAGTCAAAGTTATTGTACGTTTAAACATTTTGATAACAATAAAAAAAAACGATGAAATGTGATCTGAAACTACATTAGGACAGGTTGATCGTCGTTTCGAAAATGTATTTAATTCTCCTTTTTAGAAATAAGTAGAACTACGAAACGAAGGCCATATGGTTTTGTACATAAGTCAGCATAACTAATAACAATAGATCACTCTCAAAGTATTTATCAAAGTCACTGACATGAAATCTTGCTCTAAGTTTCATAATGATATTTAAACAAATAACATTCCTTTTTTTAGTTTGATACGTTTATCACGTTATTGCGAGACACGTAGAAGACTTGTTTTAGTGTAGCGCGTGTTATCAGCAGTCACCTAACAGCGTATCAGATCTAAAATTGCAACACACAGAGTTAGCCTAACACCTCACACCAAGAGAGAACACGAAGTACGGCCACGGCACTCTTTTTTATTTGAAAATTAAAATAAACGAGGTTTTCACAGAAAAAGGGTGGCTAGTGTACCAAAGTTTTATGAGTCATCCTGTAAGTTCAGAGAACTCAGGGCCTGTTCTTCAGCTTCCAAAGCGTTTATGTTTGATCGCCCTGAAATAGAAAGAAAACAGAACAGGTTAGCAATATCGTACATGGTGATTTTGACTCCGTTACATTAGAAACAATTAATGCCACTTTTATGTTTTGTACTTGATGTAACGCCAAACCACTGTACTGATGACACAGCGAACGTTAGACCCCTCCGTTCAAAAATAAGAAGACGGAAGACGTTGGAGAACGCTTATTAACAGAATCAAAAATGTACAATCAAACATGCGTATTTATACAATTATATAAATGCCGTTAAATATTTTGAACATGAATCAAATAGTTCATCATGAACATTAATCAAATAGTTCATCAATCCAATGTGCGTGGCTTTCTTCTCGATTGGCTCTCCCAACAGCCACTTTAAGATTATATCTGAAGCTCCATTTGTACATAGTAGTTTAGACAGAAATAAGAAAAATTTAATCAAAAACAATAAGCCTTAATTCATTTGCATAAGATACACAACGCATCCACCCAGAAGTAATTACAAGACGTTGATTAAATAGAGTTGGCGATTTTTTTTGGCTAGGAGTGTGATTTAATACATCCAACACTTATATAACTTTAACTGATTTGTAAACTTAATGTAAGCGCATTAAATCTGACTGAGTAAAATTACGAACAAATATTAAATTCAGAAAAATCAATTATATCAGTTGATGCATGTATATCTTGGTAAGACAAAATAAACTAAACTTGAATAGTTTTACGTTTCCAATTAAATGTTAATCAAATAACTGAGATTGGTGAGTATACCTTTATTATCATGTTTTAATTGTTAACAAAACTATGTATATTTTTGAGAGTTTTATACTCCATTCATTCAAATCGGCTTACAATAGTCGATATTTTATATGGTTGGTCTAAATGAGGATTAGAAATTTTAACATTGTTTTGTATTTATTGTAAAACTCAAGTTTTTAGTAAATTGAGTATACTGTTTACCTATTATTATGTTCTTAACTTTCACAGCAATCCTGCCACCAATTCCAACAATAAGGATTTTAGAAGAAAAACACCCACCATCGTTTCTTGTTTCTTGGGATAATAATGAAATGGGTGTCAGTAATCTTAGTCTGCCAACGGTGTACATACTGCAAGTTAAATCTTATTTTGGTCCGGAATATGATAGTCGTATGTCAAGTCCCTGGAAAACATTAGTTGTGGTGAGTGAATGTTTTTTTACAGTTGAATATTTTTAAAACGCGGTGAAAGGTATAGGTCACTGATATTATACGATTTTGAAAGAACCATGATACATCTTCCTAAATCTTCGCCTCTGGATGAACAAGAGCTCAAACTTTTGGGCATTTCCTGTTACATCTTTTAAAGACTAAAAATCCGTTTTCCTTAAAAATTACCGTTCCATTCACTATCAGATATTTTAAAATATTCAGTAAAACATTAGTAACTTTATTTTTTTATAAAGTATTTTTAAGTTATACCTATTAGTCTGCAGTAGGTAGGTTGATCGGTACTTTTGAAAATATTGCTGACTTTTTTGAAGTGAATATGTGGTTTATTTAACATAACGTTTGATGTATTGATGTTTTTCTGATGAGTCTCATGTTATATGTCAAGCTGTTATATCTCGTTAAACCTACATAAAGATTTCATCAACTTGATCAAATACTTTTTAAAGTTACTTATGTTTTAAAATTTCGTTGGCTGCAGTGATATAATTTTATTATCACAAACTGGTCGAAACTGGAAATTAGATTATTCCACCAGTTACTAGTCTGCAAATAATTGAATAAAGTTAACCTTCTCAATAAAACCATAGAAAGAGCTCTTATAAATCCGGTAATTATGATGGGGACTTTAGATCCTCAGAACTCTCTTGATTAATGCCTCAATTTCGGATCCCATGTTTGCGAGCATGGGCTGATTAGTTGACCTTGAAATTTCATTTCCCATCAGGAAAATCCATGGCTGTGATTGGCTGCTGTGCATTTTAGTGTGCTATTTTTGTGACTGTCCCAAGTACGTTTCTATGATGTATAAATAAACGAGATTTGTGTGCTTGATTGTATTGTGATTGCTGGGTATTTGTAGAATATACTTTCTACCCTATATCAAAACTTCTCGTTAGCTGTTTGGGGTCAAATGATCAGAGTAGTCTTCCTGGACGCCGGTTCATTGTCTCGTCCTTGTTTATCGACTAAGGTGAACCCATAATAGGTTCAAGCATACCTAGTGACGATCATAACAGAATATCAAGTAAATATTACAACTATAACCGATGGTTTTTTTCTAAATAACTTATAATCACTTATTTGTTAAGTGGGATTGATTTCCTTACACACACATTTGTTCCTCTTTCCAGGTATGATCATACTTGTCTGTGAAATAAGCTTCTTCATTCTTTGTATTTCTTTCAAATTATTCCAAATATTTATTAGTAAAAAATCTTGAATAAACACAAAGATTCAAAACACACAAACACAACTTGTGTATATTTACATTTAGATTCTATTTCTATGAAAACACCTATTCTACTTGTATGCAAATATTTCCATCAATGATTTCTAAAAAAAATCTACATTTTTTTTGGCATTTCACTGATTTGCATATAACCGTAAGCTATAAAAACGGAAGGATTTTTAATAATATCTATTTATTTCAATATCGGTGACAATGATTACTGATGTGAAATAAGAACGACATTCTGATGAAATATTAGACAAACAAACAAACTATAAACAAAGATTTAAAACAATCGGCATTAGGTCATGTGAGAGAGAAGGAGAGAGTGAATGTGAAATGTAAGCGTAAGAATGTATCATTTCATTTCTATCCAAATCATATTTGTTTTTGCCGGTACCCCGTTGTTTATTTAGCAAGTTACCTGGTCATATTTAATAACGTTTAGACAAAAGAAACTATGTGAATTTGCATAAAAGTTATGGGTTTGACAAGTTGTCATAACAATTTCTCAAATTTGTTAGGTGCAAATATGATTTATTATATGTTGCGAATTCATTGATCAGTGAACTAATCAACTGGTTAGAACAACTATTTTTTGTGATTAATTCAAAAGAAAACGACTTGTTAAAATACGTCGTATTGTTTTAATTTCTGAAACGTTTATCTATTAAATAGAATTTCATCAGTAAAAAAATAAATTTTTCGAAAGCCAGAAGTGAACTAGAAAGCAAATAAGCTGTGGACATTCAAATCCTCTGAAGATGCTTAAATCGTGAGTGAGGTTACGGGATAAAGAAATGTGATATGAAAACCATTTTATTAATGATGTAGTATTGAGAAATAAGCAATTTTAAATAGGCAAAACTAACTAGAATGAAATTATTGTAGTTCATGCACTGTTGATTAGCATAACTAGTTGGAGAACTTCATTTGATTCATCCACAAGTTGTAGGTCTATATAATCAACTTTGAGATAAACTTCTTGTGTGAAAGATAGTCATGCTACCTGGCCGTCTGAACGGAAGTAACTAGAGCTAAGTTTGAATTTGTATACATGATACTATTACATTGAATCAGTACGATGAATAAATTAACTACACGCTGTTGGAATAAAAACAATCACAGACTACATTTTTTAAGTAAACCAACATTGATACTTACTGGACTAAGATCAGAGATAAGTAGTTTTTCAGGTGGTGCTTTATCAATAAATTTACAAACTTTAACAATTAAAAGCTGTAGCGAATACTAACAGTTGTTGTTCAGCGGAATGGAATGTTTTAATAGACTTGCAGGAGGTGATTCATTAGATTAGATAATCAAACCGATTTACATTATATAGCTCAATTGATAATATCATCTGTTCATTTGCAAAAAGTGATATTTCAATCAGAAGAAAAACAATTTTGTTAATTTTCAAAGTTTAAGCCAACTATCACTTTCAGTGTATTTCAGATGCACACTGGCGGGCTTTATGGTTAAATCGTTTGCCTCTGCAATAGTAATTTGTCATCAGTGTCAAATTTTTTAAATGTCCCTTTTTATTTTATTTTATTTAATTTTTATCCGCCTCTTTCCACTTATTCTTAGAACTTATCTGTTTCTTGATTTGAATTTCTGTTCTATGCTACTGTCAAAATTATTTCGAAGAAGAAAGAGTTCCAAAATATCAGTGAAGACTTATATAAAGGCAGAAATTTCTGTTTAAAGTTACTAGCTTTAACTATGGTTTCAGATAAATGTATCTACTGTTTTTTGATATATGTCAAGTGACTGTTGTTCTTATTGATATCCTGAATTTACTTTATTGGCTTATTTAAAAGCAAATCAATTGATTAGTAGTTTACTGCATTACCAAGAATATATGTTGTATTTTTTACCCCTAACGTGATCCGTATGTACGCTGTTCATATACTCTTGGCGTTAATCTAACAATGTGAATTAACAGCTTTTTTTCAGCTAGTAGCTTGTAAGTTGGTAAATATAGGTCAATAAATACATTTTTTACATGAGTTACAAATGACTGATGTAGACCCGAGACTGATCAGTAGCAACCCTAAGCACCAATCGGCAGATTAAAACAACCAACACAAAAATAATAAATAAACTTGCACATTGCCAGCAAATCGGTAGCTAACTGGATAACGTGGTTGCGTGTGAAGCTAACGATACTGAGTTCAAGTCCTGAGGTAAACGTCAATTCTGGGATGCAGATATATTGATTTGACGAGTGCCGACCTGCGCCTTAAATTCTATTAATCTCTGATTATAATAAATAATACAGTTTTTGAATTAAAAAAGCCATCCGTAGAGTCTAACAATAGTTTGTGCATATATATTCTTATTCCTGGTCAAATTCTGTATCTATTAAAGATTCAGAACTTTCTTTCCTCTGCATTTTTCTAATGTCGTTTATGATGGCTTTTTATACCACTAATTATATGTTGAAATAAATGTCTAAAATTATATATTTCTATTCTCGTTTCTGCCATTCTAATTCATTGCATAGTTTCATTTCAACATCCTTACCACGAATGATACTCATTATTCACTGAGTACTTCTCTATGAAGAGCTCCTAGAAAAAGTTCGATAGGAACCAGTCAGACTGAAACACAATTGAAAGATATATTCCATCGACTTCAGTTGAATTGTTTGTAACTTTTCAATATATAATTAACGATTAAACTTTTACACATGTATCGGTTAATTTCGGAAAGAAAATGCATTAGCAATTAAGTATATCAATAAGCTATAGAACCATTACACTAAACACTATCATGATACTCCTAGTGTTTTATATTTTTTTAATGAGTCTTTTTTGATAACTCGAATAGGAAAAATATGATTCACATTTAGCGACAGGTTAAATTTGACCGTTATGCTTTAGTGAAGAATTGAAATCAGCTTTGAAATTACAATATGTCGTTCAAATAACCAGTATATAAGAAATGATTTCTGCATTCTGAAATTTAATCTCTACCATTACTAAAGATATTTTCCTTTCCATATATATTTTTTAAGATACGGATAAAATGAATTGCTCTTTCGAATTAATGTCACTTAAAAAAAATTTCTAATGTCTAGTCTAAGTATTTTGAAGAAATAAGTTATTCTTGTAAATGTAATAGATTACAATTTGAGTAAAATAGAGCTGCATTTTCATCTTAAGGTTTATCTTTTATCTTTTTTTTGAAAAAAAGTAATTAGTTACTTAATTAATGAAAGTATTAGACTATTTAAAAAAATTGGTTACTTAACTATAAAAGTAATTAAGTTCACAAAAAAAGCAATTAAATGAACAAATTCATTTTAAATGTTATGTTACATTAAACATTGTATCTGATTTTTTTCATCATTGATATAAGGGATTAACCCTTGAATAAATGAAAATGATTTAATAAAAACTTGCTTGAAAATTTTAATGCTATAGAAACTTTACAAAGTCATTATAAGTGGAATATAATTTATTGCTTTATGTCTAAGGTTTAGCTAGTTAAACACTTTATTACATATCATTCATCTGTGAGTAATGCATGAACGCATACGATTTTCATAATACAGTTAGCACCATAATAATATGAATACATTTTTTATGTTAGTCTACTTTAAAAGGTGCTCAACTAAGTGACCCAGCTGTTGGTTGGTGGTATCAGTTTCAAGTAGCTGCAGTAAATCAATGGGGTTCGCTTGGTTTCGATGCTCCATCTCCTCCCGTACAGCTGACAACACTTCAGCCTACTCCTCCATCACCTCCAAGAGATTTAGCTGACGAATTGTTAACACTACAAGCTAATGGAAAAATACGAGTCCAAATCCATTGGAATAGTCCAGCAACCACGACACTACCCGTCACTGAGTATAGGGTAAGTGCTTCCTTTACATTAATCGAAAGAATTGTGTTTCAAAGTATTTTTTTTGGTTAAACAAAAAATAATTGAAATCAGTTATCAACGATTGTTTAGTTCTTGTTGATTTTAGTAAATTTTGACAACGTTTGCTAAGATGAATGATTGCTATCCTTAACATAACTACTATCATCAATATAGGAGGTTTGCAAATGTTATTAAGCAATAAAGAGCATTAAAGATTAAAGACAAACTTGGATCATAAAACTGTTGAAAACCTGGAAGCACTGTACGGCTGCTGAGGAGGTTTATACTGGGAGGAAATAGGTTTTTAGTGTTTCTAGGTTGTCATTTCGTGGTCTAAATAGGAATCATTAATACTGTTTAACATAGTTTAACTAGTCGTTAGATGTCATTACTGAATTAATATATTTATTTCCGTCCACTTATGCAATCTCATAGGTCTTCATGGTTTCTTATTTGAAACATTAGGAATAAGTAAAATGAATCTAATTTTTGTACCTAAAATAGGATTCTTCATCGTCACAAAGACTGCATCACGTCTATGTTTATTTATTGTCACCTTGATCTTAGTAAACTAGTTACTTTATTGATTTTTGGTGATTTATATTTGGTCATCCAAAAAAGTAATCATTCAAGCGAGTGAAATGCTTCACCAGAATGATAATTATAATAATAGTAATAATAATAATGATCAATAATAAAGTAACTGTTGCTCGATTTCGAATACACAAGATTATATTAATTCATATTGTTCATAGTTTAATTCCGAGCACAGTGTGAACTTCATTCTCTTTCCATTTTTATAATTATTGATTAGGTTTCTTGGGGTCCTGATTCTGCAAATGTCGGTAACAGTCATGAGTTCAGTGAATATCCTACCCAATTTGTACATACTGTCCCATCAGTAAGTCCACATCACTGATTGCATTATTGATTAATACGAATTACTATGCTAAGTGAGAGAGAGAGAAATAGTACATAATAAATGATTAGACAGAATAAAATGTTTTATTTTTAAAATCAAATTAGTTATCTAATATTGTCAGTTCAATTCGACGATGACCACTTGCTTATTTTCACGTAATTTTTTTTCGCACCAGACTGACCAGTTGTTTCACTGTATAAGCATTATATATAGATGTATATATATATATATATATATATATATATATATATATATATATATATATATATATATATATATATATATATATATATATATATAACAAATCCCGACAACGAATCACATACCTGTTGTAGGTTAATGTGAAAGATAATTAGTAACAGACACACCATTGTATTGCATTATTTAATGACAGTTAACTGTTGACGAAATTTTTTTTGATCGAACGTGTTAAAATTTTCATTCCATAAATAACAGTCAAACAGATTATAAACAGACAAAATGAATGCTATAAATTAGAAAGCTTAGCAGGATAATTAGAAAAGTGATACAAATTCACTATTCCTTGGTAGAATTAATGTTATTGCATAAACTCTAGATAATGTAGTCCACTAATAATGAGTTATTGTCGACTTTGAAATACTTATTAAACCAAGAATATGTATAAAAGAAAGCATTCAAAATAGATTTCGGATCGGCAGAAAAAACTGGGACTACAAATCGAGCCTTTTAAGTCATTTATTAAATTTATAAGTTGCTTTAACGGAATCGTGAAAAAACTTTGCTATGAGTTTGAACTGACCTTCCGGTTAGCGATTTTTAGCGATTTATTTGTTTATAGGATGGGGCCACCAGCCTCATCCTTTATCCAGGTTTGGGACCGGCAGTAGTCGCAGAGGGGCTACAGGCGGAGTTTTGCTTATAGTAGAATAATTTAAAACAAATCACCACTGTAACACCGTCAGTTTTTTGGACTGATCTAGATTAGATAGAATGTGACTAGCAGTGGAATCCAGGATGCACGTTTCGTCCTACTTCGGACTCGTTAGATGGGTGTACCTACATCTCAGATGTGAGGTCTACTCCGAAACTCGAACCAAGTACCGTTTCTCTGAAACGTTATCGCATTATATTTTTATGTTTTCGCGCACAAGACGCTTAGTTGATCTTCAGCTTACATTCCCCCCTCGGAATATCCCTAATAATAATTTTAGTATGCAGTTTTGTGGCTCTCCCAAGGGCGTTTCCATCATTGTATAAATAAGCCTGATTTTTGTGCTTAGTAACCTCAATTTTTCTGGGTACCTGTACCTCTAAGCCTCATCAAGACTTCTTGCCTTTGCTAGCGTGGTCAGGGATAATCAGATTAGAATAGCCTATCGTATCACTGCATCATTTATCTGCGCTCCCTTTACTGAGTAAGGTTAACTCGTAATAGTATCAAGCTTTTCAGTTGACGAGCATATGAGATAAGGATGTCGTAATGACTAAATCGAGGCAGTCCGCATAGGATTTTCATAGGCCAACCAAGAATGATCAAATTATAGTCAAAATCTTAAAAATAGGATACTCCGAAATATTTTCAAGTTCAATTATATCTGAGATTGTTTTCACTTCCCTGAATAACTCTTCTAAAAATTAATTTGATCGAGTGAATGATATATATGTAAGTAGAACTGTGCTTGCATCAAATTCTCGAAGTTATTTATCATGTTATCATAACCAAAATCTTTAACTTAACTCATTGCATTTCTGTTAAACATAATATCTTACCCAGAATAAATTGGTCTTTTTACTTACCTCTGATATTTTTGATTACACTAACTGATATTTCATGCTCTCTTGAATAATCCCTAATTTTTTTTTCTATTACTGTTTTGCTTTAGTCTCAAACAAATTATCAACTGACGAATCTTCATCCTGGGGTACTGTACAGGATTCAGGTAAGGTTATTTTTTAGAGCAAACATCTATTATTAACTATAGTCTGAATTTATTGAAAATTAAGTCCAAGTCGTAGATTATTCGGGGTTTATCCTCAAAGAAGTTAGGCTTACTGTATAGATGCTCTTGTCCTAAAAAAAAATTAGTTTCTATTTTCTTCAGGAAACACTCTCTGGTTCAGAAGAACCCATATATGATCTTCTGTTAAACTAAACATAAACAACTGTGAAATCATTTAAAAATAAAACTTGTTTCACAACAAAATAATGCAAAACTAGTGATGTTTTGAGATCAGTGATTGATAAGATGTGTAAATTATATTAATTTAAGAAAATCATCGATGGATGAGATAATTCTTCCCGATACTTAAACAGATGATAAAAAGTCTCTATCGTTTATAACGGTTGTGAAATGCAATCGGTCATCAAGCATTCTACATAAAAGATTTAACAGCGATAAATTTAGTAACAAAACAGATAGCTAGATTGTTTTGTTTTTAAGTCATGCACATTTCTAATATAGAACTGATAATTATTCATATTTATTTATTTAGGTGATTGCAATGAGTGAATGGGGTTCAACGCAACTTAGGTCACAGCCAAATACTTTGTTTCTTCATACTCCGAGTTTGGATTCAGTTCAGGATCGGGAGGAAAATTCTCTTAAAGCAAAATTCCAAAAAATTGATGCAAACACTATTCAGCATCAAAAAGACAAAAAGTATTTGAATCAGTATGACAAGTCATATTCTGAAGACAATCCTAATCATAAATCAGGTAGGTTTTCACGGGATTCATATAAAATTCTAGTGTTAGAATTCTTATCGCATATTGAAAATCATTGTTTGGAATCCTGTAGATAATATCTGTATTTTTGGTCTATTCTTTGTTCTGTTTCTTCCTTAATCTTACTCAATGTAAGATAGTTGGAACATTCTTGAAGATTTTCTGCTGATATTTTGTTGCAACAAGCTTGTAATATGGGACTCATCATCAGTGAGCACCCAGACTCCTGCACCTGACAGGATTCGAACCCGGGACCACTGAGCCGGCATCCAACGGTGTTAATGTCTAACTCTGATCAATCTAGGGATTTTGCGCGACCTCACCCATTTGTCTTTGGTAGTTACAGTCAACAATCGACAGAACAGTGATTTGTTTTACGGTGTTATGGTTTTGTACAAGTTGGTGTTCAAATGTGTAATATTTTATCTCATTTATTATAATATATATGAGCTTGGATTAAGACTGATAAATCATGAGTAGTTAAGGAACTATATGTTCTAGTTTCAAACAACGTTAGTGAATTATTTATCACCCGATTGTATATGTACTATACATCTGAAATAGTTAAATGTCAGAGTTGATGCATGAAAAGATGAATGAATTAGCGAATTTCATGTTACTCTTTATTTATAATCTAAGATTCCAGTTGTTTAACTCTGGTTATATATTTCCATCCTCTTACTCTTCTTGTCTTTATTTTAGAGTGTAATTTATAACGATTCTTCTCAAAGGTTCTTTCTTTCCTAACTGTAGTATACTTCTTTTATAGTTTGTTAACATTAAATAATATGTTACAGTATAAATGTATTACCTATGTAATTAGCTCCTTCAGTAAATGACTACAACTGTAATACAAGTAATTGTTTAATTCAGTCACTTAATTCTTGTTGACTTGAGTATTTCTGTAAAGGTATTTCGTGAAAAGACAGCAGAATAAAGCAATTCAGTCATAATGTTTACTGAATTGGAATACCTAATTAGCAAGGAAAATAGCCTTGTAAATTCCACTATAAAATAAAAATCTAATGCATTGACTTTAATGTTATCTGCAAATGGATCAAAAATATGATAACATTTGAAGATCAATTCATGGTTTACACTATAATGTTCATTTGAATTTGCATAACTGAAATTATTTACATGTAACTAAGCATCACATACTCTAGATATATTATTGTGTTTAGATTAAATTGTTTATTTTGTAAAAAATGATTTTAGCATTTCATAAATCATGAAACGTTTAAAACTCTATTTATGAATTGTATAATGATAAATTTATCCAGGTAAACCGACTCCAGCGTTTGTTTGTAATGGAACTAGTAAAAGCTTAGTATTTAACAGTCCGCTATCATCGGATTCATTAATTGATCATAAAACTATTAGAACAACAGAATTATCAATAGAAACTGAAGCAGCTATTTTTGATGTACATGGTCTCACCACTGAACTCAAAATATTCGAGTATGATTTACATCAAACATCGAAAACAGAATCATATCCACAGACTAGTAAGTAAAATTTTTGCCATAAATATATTCGTATAGTTGTAATCATCTAATATATCTTCACTCTTGCATGACAAAAGATTTTACTAAAACGCATTGAAAATATCTCTCTGCCACGTTTGATTCAATTTTGATACCCATATGTACACAATCAAACAAAGATTTTTACACATTTGAAATCATCAATCAATCATAGTTAGACCACCATTAGAAACCTGAAAGTACTGGACGGCCATTTCCTACTGATATGGGGCTCTTCAGCATCGCGCATCCACGACTCCTGCACCTGGCATGTTTCGAACCTGAGACCTTCGGTCTTGTGCGCCATCCCTTAACCTCTGGACCACTGGGCCAGTATCCATCCATGCTACTGTCTAACTCTGATTGATCTAAAGATTTTGCGCGATCTCACACATTTGTCTTTGGTAGTTATACCCACACCCGATAGGGTTGAACTCCACTGGTCACGCCTTCTCACTAGAACTCCGAGAATTTCCTCATGAAGCTAGTCACTAGTGAGCACGATTTTTAATTAGTTTACGAATAAAAGTAACACCATTTAAGGCTGACTTTTGAATTGAATTTACAAAACATTCTACTTATGCTTATGTGTAGTACGATATTTGACGACTGTTTTTGTAAAAATAACTTTCTCTTTTCTTTACATTTAACCTAACAGTTAATCATTAGTATTTACTAGTTAACCACATTAGTTAAACATTTCATATCAAATCAATGAATTTTATGAAAGATAATATAAATTAGAAAATAGTTTAAATGGTCAACAATACTTGTATTTAATAGTAATAAAAAATTTATGAGAAGTGAGAATTTTCAGAATAGCTAGCTCATTAGTGTATGAATTATTTAAGCAGTTTAGTGGTATATTATGATGGGTAGTAATTTTTTTCACGACGCCTAACAATAATACTTGCATATCATTTTTCTTTTGTTAATGCACAATAATAAATTATTTATTATCGAAAATTATTCAACAATATTCTTAATTGGGGGGAAATCGGCGTCATATGAGCTGTAAGAAACAATAAGTAAAATCAAATGATATCTGAATGTTGATCGTTGAAATTCATTTCTTAACAATGTTAATCCACCTTACTCCTGCTGCTGACCGGCATTCTCCAGCCTACCCAGTCCTAAGCCTTCCTTTCCAGATGCTAACCTAAATGAGTTCATAACGTTCTTACGGAAAACAAAAATAAGTAGCGGTTTACCATATCGGAATTATTAGAACTATTCATAGTCTCTATCGGTGTTCAAACGTCCTGGAGGATCTATCCAAATAAGCAAATAATTGAAATTTTACTATTTTTAAAAAAAGCTAATAGCTTCCTATAGGTTAACAACAGGTAAAATAGTGAAAAGAATAAACTGGATTAAATAGTCACTATATTCAAATATGCGACTGTCATACTAAAACGGTCCAGTTTATTATAGAAATATGTTTTCCGTTCATTTGTGTTCCTTTTGGTGGATGTATCGACTTGAAAGCAATTATTCTTTCAGTAAAAAAATTAACAATTACTCGTGAAATGTTATAAAATTGGTCTTCCTACATATGGTGATTTATTATAAAAAATATCCTATTTTTGTTATAAACAGCTGAATTCCTAATTCAACAAAAATTATCAACAATCGAAAGAGAATCACATATATTCAATATATTTCGTGGTTTTTCACCAGGCTGCTTACAACCATGTATGTATTCCTAATTCAACAAAAATTATCAACAATCGAAAGAGAATCACATATATTCAATATATTTCGTGGTTTTTCACCAGGCTGCTTACAACCATGTATGTAATGAAGTGTAACAATGAGTTATGATATAATATGAAGGGATGTACATTGATGACGGAAGGAATTGAAGTATGAAAGATTATCAATAATAACTATATATGTATAAATATATATATATATATCTGCGTGAACAGAATAGAGGTCAGTTAAAGATAGCGTTCAAATCAAAAGATAAGGTGGGGTGAGACAGTAATTAATTGAAGTACGGAAACACATAAGATTGGTTGTGCGGTAACTAGAGAAATAGTTATGAAAGGTTTACCTAAGTTTTAGGTCACTTGTCTAAACTTAGCAATTGAAGGGTTGTTTAATTAATAAACACGTTTTGAAGGAATTTATGTAAGTTTCGAGAAACGAATGAATGAAAGGATGATTTTGGTGTACACAAATTAAGAGTTAGTTTAGTCAAAGACTGCATAACAAAATAAGCACAAGTAGCAATAATAATAGCTATAACTGATAATAAAATCTGCCATCTCATTTTGGACATAAATCAGGTTTAACCTTTCGATTGTTATTTCCTAGGCAATTTGAAGAGGCGAGGCGTTTTATTGTTTGTTGAATATTTCGAAGGGTTGGGAAATGTCAACATAGTGTTCAGTATCAATTAAATGCTGGTATGGTGCCCTATGTGGAGTCTTTGCTACTTTAATTCCTTCCGTCATCAATGTATATCCCTTCATATCATAACATAACTCATTGTTACATTTTATCATACATGCAGTTTTAAGCAGCTTTCGAGAGACCACGAACTATAATGAATTCATATTAATCTGCCTCACTTCTTTTTCTGGCCTTACTTAAATTCATGACGTTGGCAAACTACACAACACTATCAAGTCCAAGTTCACAGCAATAATAATATGGGAAAAGCCGGTATGTCATATAAATTTTAGGAACATTAGTAACTCAAAAACAAGAACAGATAGGAATTTAACCGAAGAGACATTGGGGACCTCGGATCCCCAGAACTCACTTGGAAAGGTCCTAATTTCGTGATTTTATCCTAAAATTGTTAGCTTCCATGTTTTCGCGCCAGTTGACTTTCCGCTTACATTTTCCCCCTCGGAAAATCCTTGACTTTCATTTGCTGATGGATTATTTCAGTACTCTGTTTTGTGGCTCTCCAAGGGGCATTTCTGTCATGCATAAGTAAGCTCAATTTGTGTGCTTGTGAACCTCGTATTTTCTTGGTGCTTGTAGAATACATCCTTTACTCCATATCAAGACTTCTTGAATTAGCTAGCCTGGCCAGGGATAAATGGATTAGAATAGCCTGTTTCACTGAGCCACTGCTTCCGTTCCGTTTACCGAGTAAGCATTTAAGCATATCAGTTGGCGAGCATATCAAGAGAAAATTAAAAAACGGTGATGTAGATAAAATGAAACATTCTTCTAAGTAGTAATCACGCTCAAAGTAATATTTAAATTTAAAAATTAATTGCTCAATATTCTGTTATTCACATATAAATGAATTACATTATTCAACCATGTAGAAGAACACGAGATCCATATTGTTCACCCGATTTCAATTAGCCATGTAAGATACACTATTACTATCTTCAGAATCTGAGGACAACGCATAGTTTTAACGTTGAAAGTGTTTTTACTTACTAATATTTTGAAAACAAATAAAACCATTGTTGAAAACCAATTTTACTTATTATAGTTAGTTCACGTCCGTTAATAGTTCGTTGGATGCCACAAGTTTGCATTGAAACTGTCATTGTCACTGGTAATAATTTAGATGAAACAAATTCCTTCCAGTCAGAAGCTTTAATAGCTAATAATCTTGATCAACTTACCAAATCTTCATATTCTCAAATGGAAAAGATTGGACGACGTAAAGAATCATTGAATTCGAATGAAAAATATGTTTTATTGAATCCAGCAAAACATGGAATTAACAATCCTATCGATAATAAAAGATTGAAAAAGCGCATCCTGAGACAAGCAACATTACAACTCACAAATCTTAATTTTAATTGTCGTTATCTAATTGAATTGTTGTCTGAAAGAAATGGATCACCTAAACAACCGGACAAAATGTTTCATCACGGCTACAAAACCGAGTACAATATTGAGCTTTCTGCATGGTTGTGTACACCAGCATGTTCTTCGGTTAAATTGGCTTCATGGATTAAAAAACCAAACTGTTTGGGTACTACACAAAGTCAGTGCATATTCTGTTAATTTTCACATAAATTTCATTGTTTAACTTTTGATGAGTCTAAAACATGTCGAATGCACATGTTCAATGCATAAATTATGTTAGACTACTTAAATCAAATCACTTTTTATCAAGATATTTTTAAAGCAAAAAATTATCGATTAGTTGAATTGATCAAAAAGAGCTTTTCTCATTGAAACACACTTCCTTGTTTTGATTTTGTAAAAAATAATGCACGTACATATTTATAGAAAATTCTGGTATTATAATATTCCGAATTTTTACTTGAATAACTGGTTGAAAAGTCTCTATTTTATGAGTGCTGCTCTATGAAGACATGGCAATCAGATTGTGATTGCTATGGAATAAAAGCAACTTGCTGTCTTTAACATTCAGCGTCTTATGATCCGCAATGAGAATATCATGTTTCAATAGAAAATCGAAAATAGCTTTTAAAAAACGATTAACTAAAGGCATGTTTAATACAAACGGTTATAGATGAAGAGAAAAACAGAGTATGTAATTTGAGAGCACGACGCGTTAAAAATCGATTGTCTTATTTTGAAGAGAAATTCAGGCTGTTATTTTAAATATCACATGATCACTAGCAATATTCTAATCAAGACTTAGATAACACGTGAAGGTAAAAACTATACATTGTAAGTGAAGTATCGTGTCTAAATAGCCACTGCACTAAATGAAGCAATTAACCAAGACATTCTACTTACAAAAATTCTCATTTAACCTATTGATTGATTATACTCTAAACATTGCAATAAAAATGTTTAATATATTCGCATAGACTTGTATAAACACAAATACTTGCTTACATGTTGTACATGTAAATTGCCTTTGGCCTGGATAATATGACACCAACATAATAATGCATGTTGGATGTAATAATTACTTAGTCTTAGCTGTTCCATTCTGTAGTTAGAGATGGGGCCAACTCAAAGAATGTTATGTATACCGCAAAAAGTGACATGCAGAAATTTCGTTTTGTCTACTTATTCGAATTTCGCACAAAATATTATATACGTTGTTACAGTCATCGGGGTGAAATCCAAATAAAAGTTTGTTTACTAGGATCTATTTTCCTCAAAGCAAACAGTTATGCACAAAAAAAACTAGGTGTTCGATAACTGATATGCCTACCAAACAAAATAAAAGTAAGTTATATTGTATCATACGCTAACTAATCTAAACTGTGCAGCAAGTAATGTTCAATGTACATTTTAAAACAGTTCTCCTCTCTTGTCTGTACTGGTTGTTTTAATCTTCTCATTGACAATTAGGACTGCAATAGTTCACTTTGGCACATGCGCGTCCTGTGTGTATTGCGTCGATAATGCCTTTAGGTTACAAACAATATTATCAGGTGGTGGATAGTGAATGTCATTCTCTATTGGGAAACATTTAGTTGAGACCGGTTATAAAGTTGATAGCAAGTCAGTCCTTGCAGTGTTATACAAAAAGTATCCAAAAGCGAATATCAGGAGAACGAAAATTGAAACCTCCCTTATGTGTTCAAAAATAGTTCTTTTTTACTCCTAACCTAACCTGGTAATATTGTGCACTTTATTGTAAATATCATTATCTTCGTTTCTCTAACCGTTTAATTTATCAATATTTTAAAGATACCATCCCAGATGTGACCAGATTGTTCAAAATGTATTGCACAAATATATAACATAAAATACAATCGCTCTGTTTAACGGAAGTCGTTTAGTTTGAAAAGAACCATTTATTGTTTAAGATTTTATTGTATATCAGTGTCAATCAAACGTGACAGAAGCCTTATAAAATTCTTAAAAAATGAGCAAAGCCTAATATTTGTAATAACAGATGAAAATACCTGTAAAAGGTAACGGCAATCATTACACTTTGCTGTTGTCTGATAAGATCTAGATTTTAAGAAGACCGGATCTCAAATGGGCATGAATAGCTGTGTCTCATCACTCTTTATATTTTTTTCATAGTTCATTGAATCAGATAGTGTTTATAAATAATACTGATTCAATTTTTGAATGTTTCAAATGTTTAATAATAATAATAATATTAAAGTTGATTGCTCATAATAATAATAATTATTATTATTTCTGTAATTTAGTTTTAGATATTATAACAGAACCAAAAAATGTATCCTATAAGCAAGTATCTGTAACACCAACAATCAGTTATAATATATCTTGGAAATCAGGTACGCTTATATCAGGGTCTGGCAATTATCAACATCCGAATACCAAAGAACTACACAATGATAAGACGAGTAAAATTGTTTTCCCGGTGCACCACAGGTGAGATTTTCGAACGATTTTTGATCAAAATGACTATTTTCTATTGAATATCATTACACATAGACTTTTTTCATTCGAAAATTTCAACACACTTTTAGAATGCCAAACAGAAACAAAGATTGTTTAAACTATTTGAAATCATTATGAAAAGGATAATACATAGATGTTCACCAGATAAACGTGTCTGTTCACAAAATCTGTACAATTATTTTCTATTTTAAGTACAATCGTTCTAAAAATATCTACGACCATTAATTTTTAGTACTGAAAATATTACTTCATAATTTGGTGCTGATTTTCGTCTTTGATAAATTGTACGATTTCTTTTTTACAAATAAAGTTAATTTGAAGCATACCACATATGCAGCACTCACAAACTGTGTGTGCTAAATCTTAAGTTGGTAAAAGGAGATATCACTGAATAAAACTTAACAAGTTTTATGGTGGATAATTCTGATTGTCAGCTATTCTAATTACGTTATATGATTCATTTTTCACAATGTATATTGCACAATGTAAAATTATCATTGATCGACTAATCATCTGAAAATTTTGCGACTCTATAATCTATTCGTGTGATTTTTCACAACAATGACTGACTGTCTGACAAGTTATTGATTACTGTGCAAATTTCAAAGAAGAAATTTCACACACATTAATTGTCACATAGACATGACTACACATCAATTAATTGATGCTTGAAATGAAATAATTGGTAATGAGAAATATTGAGCTAAATGATTTATTAAAAATAAATGTTTCAATTGTGATAAGCATTTGCACATTGTCAGCTGTACATGAAGATTTTCATTTAAAAAAACAGTGTCCAGCTGATAGCGTACTCAGTTATCAGCAATAACAAAAAACTTACGTTATTCATCTAACTAAATATAAGAACGATAGATACAAATCAATCTTTTCCCTGATTTATTCTAATAACTAGTCTGTCTTCATTTTTCAGAATTATTTGGGGACCAAGTCGGGATACTGCAATGAAATCAGTTGTATGGAAATCATGGCCAAATCTTCGACCTCGAATAGATCATACTAGGGCTGAAACCAAAGTATTACGAAATGTAAGGATGATTTCATTTTTTTATGACTAGTTGTAATCATTAGAATGTTTAATTACAACATTTTGATTATGATCACTAGTTACAATTGATTAAACATCATATTTGCAATGTTAAAGCAACCGAAATTTGAATGTCTTTTGAATGAACTTTCATCAATGCAATTAGTTAAATAGTTCACAATGATGTCGTTATAGTAACGTGTGTTTCATTTCTATTGTACACATCTTAATATTAATGCCCTGTTCAAAATTACAAAGGAAGTTAAATGTATGAAGTACAATTAAAAATTATTTATAAAAAGTGAAGTGAACTAGTGATTTTATGTTTTCGATTTTCAGTTTAGTTAGGAAATGACATTTAGGTATGAAATTTATGTAGATGTTATGTTTGTACTAGAAAATTCTTGCGAAAAATAATAAGAAATTCCTTTGGAGGTAGTTGTTTTTATTCAATAATAAATGTTTTTTCAATGTCATTAAAACATCATCCCAAATTTTATTTCTTATGCACAGAGTGAAACATCGATTGTTTTGAATAATCTTCTTCCGAATACATTATATGTGGTTAGTTTACAAGCTATGACTGGGGAACATTATACGCCAAATAATAATGAAATATATCTACAGTCTAAAATTAACAATAATGCTGATAATATGCAGAAATCAGATGTGAAATCAAGTCTTCATTCTTTTCAGTCGATAAATTCGAATGAGGTGCATCAACAACTGAAACCAACAACACAATATTTAGGATCCAGTAAAGAAGTTTATCTTGTATTTGAAACTCCTGAAGATTCAAGTATACTCAAAGGAAACATGAAATTGAGTCATTCTTCGAAAGAATCTCGTAATTCATTAGAAAATAGTTCATCAAGTAAGGAAAAAAACTAATGTATATTTTTTAGTATTGCACGTAACACTTGAGTGAACGATCATTGTGAAGATGATCAAGTTTGTCAAATGTAGTTTTTATTGCAAGTACGCTTTAGTATGATGTCACTAAATCGTAAATCGTTTGTGGCTTTGACTGATACTGGCATTCAATTTTAATAAAATGCTTGGTAAAAATTGAACTCGCTTACGAAATTATTACTCACTAAATTTGTTTAAGAATTATTGTTTCAACACTGACATGATTTACCCATAGATTGTATGAATGAAACTTGAAAGATGAGATGTTCCTAAGTTTACTTGTTAGAGAATTAGGTGTTTTTTAATTTGTCCGCCTCAGAGTTACAGTTTGTGTTAACAAGCATGGCTTCAACGATGTTTTACTTACAAAGTTTCAATGATTTCAATATTTATAATTTAGATGCCTTTTAGGTGATACTCTTGGAAAATAAATCCATTTTAATGGGTAATACCAGATATATTACGGCATAAATTCAGTGTATTTTAGCACTTAACAACATCTCACTTATTTTACCTAAGATAGGTGTTTAAAACGACTTTTAAAACATTACACTTAATATAATAAATATGAGAATAAAGAAAATTTTTTCCATAAATAAGGCATGCTATTTGAAATCCTCTCACCACTAATTGCATTTGATCGAAATCCATCAAATGAAGATTGATGAATTTTTGAATAAGCGAGAGGAGTTTATCATAAAGTAAGATAGATAGTTTATGTACATATATATATATATATATATATATATATATATATATATATATATAATATACTACTTAGGATATATCGGTTTATTGATCTGACAATTAATTGCGATGAAATTTGTACGTGAGAAACATATTAATTTACCTAGTTTTTATGCATTTGCTTAATAAATAGTTGTCAAATGCTGTGTGGCCAACTATTTTTCATGATTTTCCTTAGATAGTGTCCTTTTTGTTGAGTTCTTCAACTCAAATAATTAACTGATGTTTTCATCCCCATTACTTACTTGACAACTGTGTTTGAAAAGTGATTATTCATCCACCGACATTGGAGCTGATGGAAGATAGTTAAGTGAGAACGAACGAAAGATCAAACTTGAGATAACAAAGGAAGCAAATATTATACCAATAAAACCGTTCAAAAATATCGTGACATGAAATTGACACGGATGTTTATGTATGTAATGATGAATAGTAAAATAATGTTTGTTAACTAAACGTTGAGCTGATCATTTTGAATTCCTTTCAAATTTAAAAATCGTGATTAATCAACCAGTTAATATGTATAAAATCTAAGACTTGCGGTGCCTTAATCAAATTTACGAGCTTTTTTCATCATTAATTTCACTCTCAAGGTAATTACTTTTTAAGTAAATTGCAATCTCAAACATGAAAACATTTGTTTCATCTAGTGAACATCATTATTTTTCATGATTAATTCTTTGTTGATATAATTCTTTAATTTTTGACATTTGAATATGAATTTATTCATTTGCTTTGTAGGTGTACGACAAACAATGATAGAGATAGTTCATCTGGCATTCTTTGTGGCCTTATTAAGACTTCTATTAAATTACCAAATTTGAAACCAATGGTCATGGATAAGGGAACTATCGAGCGATGCACCTGTGTATATCAAAAAATTATATCTCATTTATGCTCTCTATATATTCTGTGAGGCGCTTGTTTTGCAATCATCAAACAGCATTTCTGTACATCACTCACCTGAGCTTCACTTTGTTAACGGGATATGTTTTTTTTTGATGTATTTTCCTTTTGGCATCATAGTCATAGAGCTTTGTGTACATTAAACAGTGCTGAAATAAGGAGGATACAAGATGTATGACAAGAGTTGATTAACTAACCTTATTACACCTATTCTTACATTTAAAAATGCATCGGTTCATATGAGCTGTATTCCAGTCATAGTTGTGTTGTAATAAACAGAATATATGAATGTAATCGATTTAGTCAAGTTTAACAATGAACAATACCAACTAACTGTATTAATGATGATTCGTTGTGATAATTTTCATTCTTTCATACTCTTTTTCCTTTCTATTGAGAACAAAATTATCCAATCTAAAGGATCCAATAATAAAGTTATTCACACTGATTTGTATATACAAATGTTATATTATGAATTCATTTTTCTTCAAGTTATATTCTATTTGTTTTATCCTCTACAAAAAAAAACAATTAACACACATCTGTGATAGTTGCATTTATTCTGTATATAGTTGACAATTTATTTAGGATATTATTACTAATCCTATTCTTTCCGGTATTTTTCTTTCTATTTTTTTTTTTGAAACCTATAACATCTTCTTCTTCGATGTGAAGTTTTTCTTTTAATCTAAATTTATTTGTACAAAGGCTTTTTAGTAAATTTTTGTTAAGGCTTACACTGAAAGCTACAAAAGGTAATAAGTTAATATACATATATCAATTCAAATTCGTTCTATCAAATGAAAATATTACTTACTTACGCCTGTTACCCCTAATGGAGCATACGCTGCTGACTAGTTTTCTCCAAACTACTCTGTCCCGGGCTTCCCTTTCCAGTTCTGTCCAATTTTTGTTCATTCCTGTCATATCTTTCTCTATTTCGCGGCGTAATGTGTTCCTTGACCTTCGTCTTTTCCTTTTGCCCTGAAGGTTCCATTTGAGGGCTTGTCTTGTTACGCAGTTAGGTACTTTTCGTAGTGTGTGTCCTATCCACTTCCACCGCTTCTTCATGATTACCTTCTCCACTGGAATCTTGTTTGTTCTATCCCACAGTACATTGTTGCTGATGGTGTCTGGCCAACGAATCCGAAGTATTTTGCATAGACAACTGTTAATAAATACTTGTATTTTCTGGATGATGCCCTTCGTAGCTCTCCATGTTTCCGCTCCATACAGTAGAATTGTCTTCACATTTGTATTGAAAATGCTGATTTGGTTTTGGTTGAAAGTTGTTTGGAGTTCCAGATATTTTTCAACTGTAGAAATGCAGCCCTTGCTTTGCCAATCCGCGCTCTCACATCTGCATCGGATCCACTTTTCTCGTCGATGATGCTGCCCAGATATGTAAACGTGTTAACGTCCTCTAAGGCATCTCCATCAAGAGTGACTTGGTTGGTGCATGTTGTGTTGCATCGGAGAATTTCGCTTTTTCCTTTATGTATGTTGAGACCTACTGCTGCAGAGGCTGCTGCTACACTGGTCGTCTTCTCTTGCATTTGTTGTTGCGAAAATGGGTATTTCCCTTAGAAGTGATATAGAGTTAGTATAGCTATTATTAAAGGCCACAGTATTCAAAATTAATACTTTAATGATTTGAATAAAAACTGAATTGTTGAACATTACGATTTATGAGTAAAATTTTCAACAGACCATGGGAAGATCAAAACAAATTTGCATGAATTTTTTATTCACTCAAACTATCCAAGGTTAATACAAAGCAATGTACTTTGAGAAAAATATTTAGATGACAATGGGGATGATAAATTAGGGCATTTGTAATGAGACATTATTACCGTTTATGTATGTAGTTTCCATTACTTGAATGATTTGAATATTGTCTAGTGCTAATAATTTATTTGCGTCAAGGCACATTCACTGCTTTCGCATTCTGTCTGGAGATGATAATCCGCAGGAACACACCAAGGATATGTAGTTATTATGAAATTTAAAATTTAAAAAGATGGTTGTATTACATAACCTGACATATTGTACTTCAAATTCCGTAATGACCTCCTTCAGATAAACATTAAAAATCGGCTGATAATAGACAGTTGTTATGACAACGAAGCTAATCACCCTTTCGAAAAAGTAATTATTTCATTCTCCTCGAGTTACTATTCACACGTCTTCGTTTATAGCCTTGCTTGTCCTTATTTGAGTGCGTATGTGTTATTGCTTTTTCGCTCATCTCATGTCTGGCTTATTTTCGTTCGACAACAACATGCCTCATTACATGGAGTTAGTCCACTTGCCTTCTCCGCTTTGATTTTACGCTTCTCTTTACTGTCTGCTCACGCGAATGTATGAAATAAATCCATCCATACAAAACCGTATTGGGCTTTTACTAACCGCGGTGGCACAAACTAGGTTCGCCCAAAAATAATATGCGGAAATTTAGACCAGCGAATTAGTTCATCCCGACTGAAGTTAGCTCTTGGGCGACTAAAGACCAGACATTTATAACACTGTCTGGTACTCAGTTAGTAATCAGTGTCAGTATTCGGTCATGCAGGATGGGGTATGTGCACCAAACAGCGTTGACGTCTAAAATGGAAATGCATAACCGGGGTTTGGTTTCAAGAATGAGTCAGCTCTCTCGTGTTACGCATGCACGTAAACACGTCATTGGATAAGCTTGAACTATTAAGGGCTTACCTTAGTGGGGAAACGAGGGCGAGGGTCGATTATCCGGCCACACGACAGGCTACTCTAATCCGAGTGTCCCAAACCCCGGGTCCGGGTCATAAAGCGTTACAGATAATGCGTATTTATACAGTCAGGCTGGATAGAAAACAACAATGAAGTATGTTACACTGATAGTTATGACAACCAATAGTAATGGATCAGTAGAATTACATTTACAAATAATTCTCTTAGGATATTGGATAAATATCCTAACATCTTGGTTGTATCAGTACGTCTCGTCGATGAGCACTTTTGACAGTGTTTCCACATGTCTAGATTTGGAATATTCCTTTTATAAAATTTTAATCTGAGAAACCAAGAATAACAAAATATCCCTCACTTCTATTTCATTAACTCCACACGGGATTGAAATCAGAATTCTTTTCCCGTTGTAAATATAATGTAAGCAAACTCCTAAGACTTGACTTATTACTTCGAACATCCATAACCTAGTAATTATCAGATGCTGAAGTGACAACTACAGCATCAACCTAACCTGTTCAAAGATATCAGCGATTTATAGTTATTTACTTGAATAAATAATGCATAAAATTATTTTTAATTGTTTTACTGAGTATATATTTCCAATTTTAAATTTCTTCCAATGAAGGAATTAACTCGGAAATCATTGTATTGATGTATTTGTCGTTGGAATTAGCATAAAAATCGTTTAATTATATGACAGAATAAACATTTCTATCAATAAACATTTAACTATGCAAAAGATAAATAAAATTGAATGAACACAAAAAAGAGGCTAGTAACACTCTCTATCTCATGCATTTGTTAAATTGAATTTTAATCTGGAATAATTAGATTCGTCATTTGTCAGCTGAAACTTTAAATAAATCGGATTAAACTTTTTTTTTCCTATCTTTGTCGACAAAACACAAACAAAATTTTATATGCATAATCATGACTCAATGACAAAAGAAAACTTTTACTTAATTGAATTGGTCGGAAGCTATAAATTCTACAACAATAAAAAAATAGGTAGAAAATAGATCAACGAAAAGTGATTAAGAATAATAATGATTGATTGTTGGTTTAGTGGAGGAATTTGTTTTTGTTTGTTAAATTTAATGTTGTGTATACTTTGTCAAGAATGTAAGTCATTTGTATCACAGTTATGTGATACAAATACAGTTATGCCTTTATCCATGCATACATTCTTTTGATTTTCTTTTTAGAGTTCAGTAGTATACTAAAAAACAATAATAATAATCAGCACCTGAAATTACAAGCCATCATTACTTTGAAGTAACAATTTAAGTTTATTGTTTTACTGAAAATACATAGGTATATTTAATGTACAGTTTAGATTTCATGCTTTTCTGTCTTTCTATTAATAAGGAAAAAAACATGCTTAGCATTCATTGTTTCATGTTGTCTAATTTAAACATGGTTCATAAATCTAATATTTGTCTGGCAGGTGGTACAAAGATTACTTCTTAAGAAGAATTTATGAGCGTAAAGTTACCTATAGTTACCTTTTCATAAAATTAGGGTAACTGCACAGGGGCTTGTTGTTGTTTGACATTGCATCAATGATGACTTCATTTCATGGTCCAATGATCAGACTTAAGTAATATATGACGTCGCGAAAAATCCCTAGATTGATCAGAGTTAGACATTGAGAGACTCAGTGGTCCAGAGTTTATGCGTTTGCGAAGAAGACCAAAGGTCCTGGGTTCGAATCTTGCGAGTGGCAGGAGTCGTGGCTGTGACTTGCTGATGAGTCCCATACCAGGACACAACGGCCATCCAGTGCTTTCAGCTTCCTAATGATGGTCGAACAATGGCTGATTCATGGTATCAATGATAAACAACAATCTCCATAACTATGATGAAGAATAATATACCGTCGAATTTCCAGACCAGATAACTTTTAAACAATGATATTGGATGAGACTTCGGAGTAACCGTAAATCATACAATCTCCAAAGTGAAAAATTGAAAATCAGACAATGAAGTTATTAGTTATTCATAGATCATTTGGTATTTAAAAAATCAAATAGAAAATAATGTACTTGTAAATTACTGTCAGATTATCAATATCAATTGAATGCATCTTTATAACTTATGTAATACAAATTACCGGCAATTAATTAAAATGCCTATCAAATTTTCTTATTACAATAGAAAGTGAATTTTCTTAAATAACCTAAGCATAATACCACACATGATAGTTAAAACAAAGTGAATGAACTTTAAAAGTGTAAGATAAAAATATATACAGTTAAATTATTGTTGAAATACTTGTGGGATAATACTGTCTTTCATAGTACCGTAGTTTATGGAACCTACTTTGGATATGAGTAGTTTTTTACTTCGTTTATTGTTTGCGGTTTAGGATATTTATGTTGCAGTTTATTGATTGGACACTACGTAAGATTATGTTTGACGGAGAAATCTTCAATAAGCTTATTAAGAACAGAGAAAAGCATTTGACAGTTTTACTTGAAGCTTTATTAGTTCACAATCAAAAAATATTTGAGCTTATCAAACGACGTAATTAAAAAGGTTGTTAAATTCATGACTTAGCAAATCGATCGTTTAGTCCTAAGTAATCAAAGTCCGAAATGCAGATTAAAATATTTTAAATGACAGCAAATATATATATTTTTGAATATGTTCTGATGTGTCATATATCATGACTGACTGATTAATATGCTGAGATTCTTTGTGAAACCTTCTGCTCTCAAGTTCCTATCTTGGTAGTAT